AATTCACGAGATCAATACATCCTTTATTAGACCGCTTTGTCGAGTTAAATGCATCCTGTCGAAATGCTGAATCAATTCATTCACTTCCAACAGCGCTTAATGTGAGCAGCGTCATAGAGGGCAGAGCGTCACGTTAGTTAAAGAGGAAGTTCACACCTTAATGAGCAGCAAAGGATTAAGTAGCAGCATTGGTTACTTTTATGCCACTGATAAAGCTTTTATATGTAGTTTGGGGTAACAAAGGGGTTTTATAGGTTTAACTGAAATAATAATGCAATAACTGACACTTTAAATCAATGTTTCAAGAAACAACAACAACAAAATTTAACAAAAAACAGATAAAGACAAAAAAGTAGCCATTGATAATATCTAAACAATATGTAGTAGTATAGTATATAGTATCCAAATCAAAATGTAATAAAATTAATTTATGTGTGATTTATGTGTAAATTATGTGCAATGTCTTATACTAGTATGTTATTTATATGAATCAATTACTAATTTGTGTAATTACACTGTAAAAAGGGAACCACAAAACCTTAAGTCTCTGGGGTATATTTGTAGCAATAGCCAAAAATACATTGTATGGGTCAAAATGATTGATTTTGTAATTTATGCCAAAAATCATTAGGATATTTAGTAAAGATCATGTTCCATGAAGATATTTAGTACATTTCCTATTGTAAATATATCAAAACTTAATTTTTGATTAGTAATATGCATTGCTAAGAACTTCATTTGGTCAAATTTAAAGGTGATTTTCTCAATATTTAGATTTTTTTGCACCCTCAGATTCCAGATATTCAAATAGTTGTATCTCGGCCAAATATTGTCCTATCCTAACAAACCATACATCAATGGAAAGCTTATTTACTCAGCTTTATTTAGAAAAATGACCCTTATGACTGGTTTTGTGGTCCAGGGTCATGACATATCTTTATTGTTAGTTCATGATACCTAATGCATTAACAAATGTTAACAAATCTTACTCCTAAAATGTCACCAGTTTTTTTTAAAGCAGATAGATCTTTATGAAACCTGAAATTCTATATTTCCTCTGGCCCACAGCTGTACTTTTCCTACAAACCACGTGACTAACCAGAACCATTCGCCAACTTCCCGGGATATTTGGACAGTTGTATCGGAGGAATTCAAAACAAGAGCGTAATGTCCTCTCGCTGAGGCTCTGTGGCCACGCCCCCCAGCCACTCCCCCTCCACTCTCGCTTGTTATCACAACGGCATGTAAAGGTTAAATCCAGTATTGTTTGTTTAAAATGTACACAGGGATGATGGAGCGGAAAACAGACCTCACATGGTCTTTAACCCTTTGCAGGTGTAACAAACCCATGCTGGTGTGTGGGTAAAGCCCGTCTGAAGCAGCTGTGCTTGTGTTGGGTTGATACGAGGACCTCACGGGGGTCCCATCTTGGTGCAAAGATGAAGCAGTGCATCACATGATCCGACACGGACAGTTCGACCAGAGATTTCAATTGTTTACTTTCGCTTGTCTCTCTCGCCTGTGAACAGAGAAGAACAAAAAACAAAGAGCATGGAAAACACATGCACACAGCAGGTGTAACCAACAGATGCAGCTCCATTAGATTAGCTCATAAAGCAACGTGCTGCTAGTAATGTGAGGAGCTCCCAGAGTTAATGCGACTCATGCATCTCTCTCGATCGCACGCATGTGGAGGGTGGAAAACACTCGGTGCATTTAACACAACAAGAATAGAGCGGTCCAAGCAGCTGGGTGTTTGGTGAGCGTGCACGTCTCTCGCTTCAGGTTCTGTTTAAAGTTTAAACACACTCAAGTGCATGCAGTTTGGCTCCAGTCTGGCTGTTAGTACACAGAGAGCAGAATGGGGGGGGGGGGGGGGGCGGTCCAAGCAGCTGGGCGTGTGCGTCTTAACGCTTCTGGTTCTGTTTAAAGTTTAAACACACTCAAGTGCATGTAGTTTGGCTCCAGTCTGGCTGTTAGTACTCAGAGAGCAGAAGGGGGGGTGGTGTCAGCAGGGATGTGCATGCATGCCTATTGTCATGTCATGTGATCTGCTCTAGAAATAGCTGCCTGTCACAAAGGAGGAATGGATCTGTGTGCTCTCTCCGGTATGGAGGAAATACAACTCTCAAAGGTGAACCTCAGTTCCAGAAATAACCCATGTAACATCAATGTCCCACAAACAGCGCAACAGAGAAAGGGAAAGGAGTGAGTGAGTGACGTGCCGGGAAAAAGAGCAGGAGAGCTGATTGTGTGAGAGCGAGAGAGATGCGGTTTCAGGGGATGACAGCGGATTCAGACCTTGAATCATTCAGTACTGCAGATCAGGGAACCAGCTGCATCTCTACTGCATGTATGTTTGCAGAACAGCTCTGCAAACATGTGTGTAGCCGTGAATGTTTAAAGTGATGAGAGCAAAACACAAGAGACAGCCAGAGCGTAACACCGGCTACATTCACACCGCAAACCAGCGTGCAATTCTGATTTGAGTTCTTAGTGGTTGTTCACATGGCCTTTTAAATGAGGTTCATATCACATTCTGGTTGGAAAGAAGAAATATAAAATTTAAAAAACCTTTTAACATGATCTATTCTCCCTTTCTGTTGCCACTGTTCTAAGGCTTTTGAGGCCCAAATGTACACCAATATATGAAACAAATGTATTTTTGCACCATTCGTGATTTACTTTACGATTCTTTCTAAAGCTGAATCAAATGTCCTTGTGTGTGTCCTTTGCTCTTCAGAGTAGCTAGGCTTCCATTCATGTGTTTTAATGTGAATTAGTATAATTTTATTAATATTTATGTACTATTATAGCATTTAATAATATTTTTAATTATCTTTTTATATATAGTTTTTAAAAAAAAATTCATTTGAATTTTAGTTAAATAATTTCATGTGCTTTTGTCATTTTTATTGTTTTATAGATTTATTTTTATTTCAGTTTTAGTAATTTAGGTAATTTAACTTAAATTTATTTTATTTTAATTAGTTGCCAAGGCAACATTTCACAGTTTTATTTATGTTTAAGTTTTTTAATCTAATATTTATATTTGAGTTAATCTGTATTTAAAAAAAAAAAAGATCTTTAATAGTTTTATGCAATATTGCATAAAACTACTGGATGAAAAATCTACTAAATAAATAGAAATTTCATGCCATAAACAAATAAGCAAACAAAAATGTATGTGCTTGCTTAAGATCGCAATTCATAAAAAAAAAAGAGTGCAATGACCTCGCTCAGAGGTCATTGCACAATGGCACTATACTGACATCTAAAAAACAGCAAATGAACCCACAGTCTATAGATATTTCTCATATGTGATAAAATCATTCAGGTATGGCTCGCTGCAAGAGTCCAGCTGCTGAAAAAACTCAAAGGCAGCATCTTGTTAACACTCCTCCAAGTTTTCAACCTGCTAGATTCAATACTTTGACTCTGCGGAGTGAACAGCAGGAGCGATGATGAGCCAGACAGACTGTGGCTGAAAAGTATATTCTAGAAGACTAAGTGAGAGAGAGGGAGGCAGCATCTCTATATTTCCCCTTGGCCTCCCTGTGGAACTGTTCCTGTCTGAACAGAGTGTCCCTGCATTAGCTCAGCGCTCGACGCTTCCAGCTAGCTCAGCGAGATGCACAGCGTAGCCCAGGCAACCCCAGCCACCTCAACACCTGGCTGAAGGCTTCTCATTAGACACAGCACACGCCATGCACCTGTAAATCAGGAGGGAACGCTTGCTGAAGGGCCATTCTGATTGCATACACACAGAAACCCACTTCGACAGAGGTTTAATTAACACTTCAACCGTGTCACAAGAATCACTGAAGCAAAGAAATGAACTAAGGCACATGTTCTTTTAGCCTATTTATAAATATACGCTATTCAAATGTTTGAGGTCAATACGATTTTTTTTTGCAAGGATGCATTAAATTAGTCAAAAAGAGACAGTAAAGACAATGTTGCAAACAATTTCTGTTTCAAATAAATCTGTTTAACTTTACATTCAACAAAGAATCTTTTTTTTTTTTTTAAATCACAGGTTTCCTCAAAAATATTACGCAGCACATCTGTCTTTAACGGTGATGATAATAAAAAGAAATGTTACTTGATAAAGTGTTTTTTTTAAATGTAATTAAAAATCTAAAAGTTAATTGAATTTTATCTCACAATTCTGTTTTTCCTCACAATTCTTAGAGAAAAAAAGAAAATATATAAACTTAAAATATATATAAACTAAATTGCGAGACAATTTAGTGGTGGAAAAAACATAGTTGAAAGATGTAAGTAAAAAATTTGAAAAATTAGCTCTGAATTGTGAGATAAAAAGTAGCAATTGCTTTTGTTATTTTATTCCAAGGAGGAAACAGGCTTCCATACTAAAGACTGAATGGCTGAAAAATTCAGCTTTGCCATCACAGAAATGATTTAGTTCCCTTTCAGTCGGTCACTCCCGACGTCACGTCGGATCCCAATTCGTCGGTCATCCGACGTGACGTCTCCTTTCCCTTCTTCAGGGAACGAGGGTTACCATACGTAACCGAGACGTTATTTTAAATTGTAATAATATTTCACAGTGCTGCTATTTTTATTGCTTTGTTTTGAACAAATAATTGCAGCATACTTCTTTCAAAAACATTAAAACATTTTCAGTACTGATATTTATTAATCTGACTGAAAGTTGTCCTTGGACTTTTCTCACTCTCTCTCTCTTTCTATAAATATAAATTTTAAAAGAATTATTTAAAAAAACAGCTTATATACACTATGGCACTCAGACATGCCATATATCAATAGTAACGTACGTTTTTACATATTTACACACATTGCTTCCTGCTGAGTGACGCATAATCCAACATAACTGAATCAAGGGGAAAACATCATAGTCTGGTAGTTTGTAGTATGAATGATTTGTATGAAGACAAACACTTCAAGCATATCTAATGGTTTTCACAGTGAATTATGCAACTATATCCAATAAAGGAGTGACTATTTCTTTGTCTTTATCCTCTGTAGTGATTAAACACGGATATGTACGTGAATGTGTGTGTGTTTTTATGGCATGTGGGTGGTACGGCTACACTGACTCACTTTAGCTGAGACCAAAACGCTGATGACTAATGGAGCGAGACGCAAGAGGGCCTTAAAAAATAGCAGCAAAGAAACAGAAGAAGAGGTGGGCTTTGAAAAATGCATGCACCCCAAACCCAACACTGCCGGGTTTACCTCAACTGCTGCATTTCTCATAAGAGCATGCTGATGTATTATTGAGCAGCACAGTTCCGGTCCAGGACACAGAGGTCACTGCATCAATGCAGTCAGCTGAAATAGCCAGCGCACAAACATGCACATGTGCAGGAAACACTTAACTAGCATAGCCCTAAAGAGCAGTAAAATCGGTCCTCGAAATAAAACCAGCATTACATGTCCTGTCTGGGATCTTTTTAAGAATGTGAAATTGAAATGTAAACAGGAGCAGCGTCGTGCTCACGCTGATCAGACGTTTGGGTGGGGCAGTCTAGTACTATCAAAGCTAAGACATTTATGACAGGGGCGTTTACAGTCAAAGAGGGATTTATTTACCTAAGCTCATTGTAGTAAAAGGGTTTGGCTGTGTTTGTCAATCTTCTGCAGAACTTTGGAATGACGTTACAGTATATAAAGGAGACTAGGACTAGTTGTCACACACTTTTTACTCTAGTGAATGTTTTTTGGTGGGTTTAATTTTCATTTCTGTTCACGTACTTACATTTAAGTCTAAAAGGAAAAGCTACTGAGAGAAAGATGATTTAAAGGGATAGTTCACCCCAAAATTAAAATTTGCTGTTAAATTATGCACTCTCAAGCCATCCAAGATACAGCTGACTTTCTTCCTTCAGTAGAACGGTAAAGAAGATTTTTTAGCTGAAACCGTGGTCCTTGCTGATTCATAAAATGCAAGTCAGCGACTGCCCATATTTGAAAATAAAAGGAACACAATATCAAGGAACACAAAATTAATACCCATGGCTCTTGACGATATATAGATGTCTTATGAAGCAAAATGATTGGTCTGTGCAAGAACCTAAACATTATTTAAATGAAAGTGAGTTTTGATTGAGTAACTTGTAGATCTGTGCTCCTCAACCTGTGAACTGTTTCAGACAATTCAGTCCGATTTGGTGAACTGGTTCAACTATTTCACCAAAAATAACCAGTTCAAAAAATGAAGTCTAAAAGGAAAAGCTACTGAGAGAAAGATGATTTAAAGGGATAGTTCACCCCAAAATGAAAATTTGCTGTTAAATTATGCACTCTCAAGCCATCCAAGATACAGCTGACTTTCTTCCTTCAGTAGAACGGTAAAGAAGATTTTTAGCTGAAACCGTGGTCCTTGCTGATTCATAAAATGCAAGTCAGCGACTGCCCATATTTGAAAATAAAAGGAACACAATATCAAGGAACACAAAATTAATACCCATGGCTCTTGACGATATATAGATGTCTTATGAAGCAAAATGATTGGTCTGTGCAAGAACCTAAACATTATTTAAATGAAAGTGAGTTTTGATTGAGTAACTTGTAGATCTGTGCTCCTCAACCTGTGAACTGTTTCAGACAATTCAGTCCGATTTGGTGAACTGGTTCAACTATTTCACCAAAAATAACCAGTTCAAAAAATGATTCATTTGTGAACCAGACATCATCCTTGACTCAATCTATAGATTACAGGTAATAATGTTGTAAAACAATGTTCAGTTTCTTTTAAATCCTTTACAGGGTACAAAACAATTGTTCTGGCAACAAGACGAGCACTTCAACAATATTACTGCAGTCTTACTATTAAACTATATGAATGAAACTATAGACCAGCCTCAAATACCCGTACGAGTGTGTGCTATTCGGGCTGCTAATGATGACAGTTATTATTGGGGAATAACACACCTCAAAAAAGCACGACTGACCAGTCAGAAGTATTCCACTGAGCTGTGTAATAGATTTAATTTAGGCTTGTATTCACATTAAAAACACTGATCAACACACATACAAGTTAATAGAAGCTCAAACGTTCTTGACATGCGAGAACAAATCTCATTGGTTCTTACACATCTGAGTTTATGTTTACCATATTTGATGTGCTCTACTGTATGTCTGTGCATTGATCAGTGTTTATAACATTTTGGTGAAAATCAACAACCAGTTTGGAAAGACATGAGGGTGTGTAAATGATGACAGAATATTCATTTTTGGATGAACTATCTATTTAACGCAATAGCAGGGCATGATGACACACCATTTGTGGTAAGTTGTCACAATAGAACTTGTCTACACCCTATTTGCTTTTCAGCCTATTTTAACCAGTGAAACAAATGTAGGTAACAGAGATATCAAACAATTGTTTCAGCCTACAGATAATATAATTAGCTTGTGTATAAAATTACATGTAACAACTTTAATTTATAGGACAGAATTCACAAATGATTTTAATTTTAAGACCCAGGTGTTTGAAACCAGCATCATTTGAACAATTTGTGAAACTGGACTTTTGACACCAGATCTTATAGTTACTGTTATACATGCCCCAAATCTCCCCATACTACTACTACTACTACAATAAGTGAAAAATAGCATATTTACATGTTTAATATCCAGAGGTCACAGCAGTCTTATCTGGGAGATAATCATTTACAGATTGCGCTGGCAGCTACGAGCTCACCTTTATCCTGATAACAGCATTCATTATTTTGTTAATAGTTTGCTTTGAATTAACTACGTGATCTGCTGGTTGACTTTAGCATGAAGGGCATACGGGTGATAAACAGGTCGTGGAAGTGAAAGAGGCCAAAAAACAGGACCTGAACACATTAATGACCAAGCAAACGCTCTGTTGCTGGAGGCTGTGCTGTCATAACAACGTTACGAGCTACGCTTGCTCACGGGACGGAAAAAGAAATCATCCTTGCTATATCCTTGCACACAGCACATGACGTGACCCGGTGTCTGATGTCACGGCGGGATACGCTCTGTGGGATTACACCGTGCATCAGCTGAGAGGATGAATTAAGCAGGATAAACATCTGCCTGCTTGCTTATCAGATTAGAGGCCAGAGATGGAGGTTTCGAAATATGGAAAAGGAGTATTGCATTTTGATTAGTCAACTTATTAAAATTACATTTTTACAGTGTAGCAGCTGATTTGAATTCAACCATAACACATCATGCAAAGCACAGGACATCGGTGCACCAGGGAGTGGGTTTGCACCATCAGGGTATTCCCTAGCTATGACCTGTGAGCGTGGAAAGCACAGGAAGACAGTCCTGTCCTGCCTTTGGTGAGCTGTGGATTGCTGGACTGATGAAGCGGGCATCCATTATTCAGCTCGTGGGGATGGGCAGCTCCATCTCCTGGGATTAAGAACTCAACTCTGATGAGAACATCACGCTCTCCACTGACACACACACGCGCACACACACAGCACGCCAGGGACACGGAAAACACACCTCCTCCGCACGAGTGCATCAATTCTGGAGTGAAAGCCTGGATATCTGGATCGGAGCATCTAAACCTTGGCTGTATCTTGAAGGCTGCAGTATTGAATGCATGTAATTCATAACACGTATGTGCAAAGCAGACATGAATGCATAAGCAACGTGTAGCGCAAAGGTACATACTTGAAGTCTGCACGAAATAGATCTATTCTATACCTATTTTCTAAATGCATATTATAGATCTTATTATAGACAGTTCATCTGTGCATATGTTTCATTTTCTAAATGTTCAGACTACGTAATGTTTAATCACAATGTCATGACTGGACCTTCCAGTGAAATGACAGACTTCTCTCTGGTGATGTATGCAAGATTTATTTAATTTGAAGTGACTTATTTACTCACTTTAACATCTTCCTTCAGATTTGAGTGCAACGCCCACATCACAAAAAATCAAATCAACAACTGATGCATTGAACCAAGTCCCACCCTACTTTTTCTTTTCTGATAAACCATTTCACTGAAATGTATGTCACAATATGGAAGAAAATATAAATTTTAAAGGGATAGTTCACCCAAAAATTCAGTCATTATTTATTCCTTCTCATGTCATTCCAAACTTGTACAACTTACTTTCTTCTGTGAAACATGAAGGACAAATTTGAAAGGGTTAGTTCACCCAAAAATGAAAATTAGTTCATGTTTTACTCACCCTCAAGGCATCCTGTGTGTACATGACTTTCTTCTTTCAGACAAATCCAATCAGAGTTATATTAAAAATTATCCTCTTTCAAGCTTTATAATGGCATGGGCGGGTGTTTTTGTTCAACAGTCCAAAAGTAGTCAAATAAAGTGTGCGCAACCATAATAAAATGTGCGAACGGAGCAAGGCCGGTGGAGGAAATTCTAATGCGCGACACCTGCGCCACTCACCGGTCTCGAGTCCCACGGAGGAGCTCCGGAAGGATAAAAGGAGGAGTGACGACAGTGTTGGACGAGAGAGGACCAGGTCTGGATTTTATTTTGTGTTTTGGTTCTGTTTGTGTGCGACAGTCGTCCGCGAGGGGCTGTCACGCTATTTTGTGCTTGTTTATTTTATTAAAGTTTTCTTTCAGCGTTCGCCGGTTCCCGCCTCCCTCTTCCCGAACTACGAACTTTGTTACGGTCTCCTGTAGCGAATCCATGCATTTTTGAAAGACAAATATCCATATTTAAAACTATATAAACACCCTTTTCTCACTTCTGCTAACTGTCGTAGGCAGAAGCCGTTCCGGCGGATGACGTAGGACATATGTGTAGCGTAAGCACCATTGATTAGTGACGAACGTGGAAGCGCGACGGAGAGAACATAACAAAACGCCAGTCACGAATTAGAAGCACAAAATGAGAATTTGTAAAGAAAAATGTCAGAGGATTTCGATATAAGCCAAGTGGAGACTGGTTTCCTTTAGTAAAGTAAGGACACTTTGCTTCGCTCCATCTCCTGGGATTAAGAACTCAACTCTGATGAGAACATCACGCTCTCCACTGACACACACACGCGCACACACACAGCACGCCAGGGACACGGAAAACACACCTCCTCCGCACGAGTGCATCAATTCTGGAGTGAAAGCCTGGATATCTGGATCGGAGCATCTAAACCTTGGCTGTATCTTGAAGGCTGCAGTATTGAATGCATGTAATTCATAACACGTATGTGCAAAGCAGACATGAATGCATAAGCAACGTGTAGCGCAAAGGTACATACTTGAAGTCTGCACGAAATAGATCTATTCTATACCTATTTTCTAAATGCATATTATAGATCTTATTATAGACAGTTCATCTGTGCATATGTTTCATTTTCTAAATGTTCAGACTACGTAATGTTTAATCACAATGTCATGACTGGACCTTCCAGTGAAATGACAGACTTCTCTCTGGTGATGTATGCAAGATTTATTTAATTTGAAGTGACTTATTTACTCACTTTAACATCTTCCTTCAGATTTGAGTGCAACGCCCACATCACAAAAAATCAAATCAACAACTGATGCATTGAACCAAGTCCCACCCTACTTTTTCTTTTCTGATAAACCATTTCACTGAAATGTATGTCACAATATGGAAGAAAATATAAATTTTAAAGGGATAGTTCACCCAAAAATTCAGTCATTATTTATTCCTTCTCATGTCATTCCAAACTTGTACAACTTACTTTCTTCTGTGAAACATGAAGGACAAATTTGAAAGGGTTAGTTCACCCAAAAATGAAAATTAGTTCATGTTTTACTCACCCTCAAGGCATCCTGTGTGTACATGACTTTCTTCTTTCAGACAAATCCAATCAGAGTTATATTAAAAATTATCCTCTTTCAAGCTTTATAATGGCATGGGCGGGTGTTTTTGTTCAACAGTCCAAAAGTAGTCAAATAAAGTGTGCGCATCCATAATAAAATGTGCGAACGGAGCAAGGCCGGTGGAGGAAATTCTAATGCGCGACACCTGCGCCACTCACCGGTCTCGAGTCCCACGGAGGAGCTCCGGAAGGATAAAAGGAGGAGTGACGACAGTGTTGGACGAGAGAGGACCAGGTCTGGATTTTATTTTGTGTTTTGGTTCTGTTTGTGTGCGACAGTCGTCCGCGAGGGGCTGTCACGCTATTTTGTGCTTGTTTATTTTATTAAAGTTTTCTTTCAGCGTTCGCCGGTTCCCGCCTCCCTCTTCCCGAACTACGAACTTTGTTACGGTCTCCTGTAGCGAATCCATGCATTTTTGAAAGACAAATATCCATATTTAAAACTATATAAACACCCTTTTCTCACTTCTGCTAACTGTCGTAGGCAGAAGCCGTTCCGGCGGATGACGTAGGACATATGTGTAGCGTAAGCACCATTGATTAGTGACGAACGTGGAAGCGCGACGGAGAGAACATAACAAAACGCCAGTCACGAATTAGAAGCACAAAATGAGAATTTGTAAAGAAAAATGTCAGAGGATTTCGATATAAGCCAAGTGGAGACTGGTTTCCTTTAGTAAAGTAAGGACACTTTGCTTCCTTTCCTGCTCCTGTTAATAAACGTAGATTTTCTCGAGACTCACACGCACATGTCCTATGCTCTACGTCATCCTCCGGAAAGGCAGTCTCTCATGAACGCACATAAGTTACCCAAAACTGTTTATATCGTTTTAAATATTTTTTTGACAAACAAATGGATTCGCTATACAGGAGGCCTTTATTTACCCCCGGAGTGCCGTGTGAGGCACGTTTTAATATGGATGGATGCGCTTTATTTGACTACTTTTGGACTGTTTAACAAAAACACCCGCCCATGCCATTATAAAGCTTGAAAGAGGATAATTCTTAATATAACTCTGATTGGATTTGTCTGAAAGAAGAAAGTCATATAAACCTAGGATGACTTGAGGGTGAGTAAAACATGGGCTAGTTTTCATTTTTGGGTGAACTAACCCTTTAAGTGTTTTTGGACGCCATTGACTTTTATAATACGGACAAAATACAATTTTCGTTCTTTAAAATGTCTTTTTAAAGATATTTTCTTAAATCATGACAGAATTTTTGTTTTTTGGGTGAGCTATCCCTTTAAAGGAATTATTCACCCGAAAATGTACACACCCTCAGGCCATCCAAGATGTTGATGAGTTTCTTCATCAGATTTGGAGAAATGTAACATTACATCACTCGCTCACCAATGGATCCTCTGCAGTGAATGGGTGCCGTCAGAATGAGAGTCCAAACAGCTGATAAAAACATCACAATAATCCACACCACTCCAGTCCATCAGTTAACATATGGTGAAGTGAAAAGTTGTTTGTTTGGAAGAAATAAATCCATCATTAAAGGCGTTTTAACTTTAAATCGTCACTTCTGGACAAAATTTCATGTCTGAGTGAACTATTGCTTAACATGCATTCTTGTATTACCGTACACTTGTGTTGAGGATTGAGTTACCTTCAAAGATAGATGCCATTAATTAGCAAATTAACACGCTTATTAAGGTCCATTTAAAAATGAATACAATCATGTCCTCTTTACTTGCTAGGTGATTTTCCTACCTTCAGAATAATTCAAGCTTGACATATACCACCTTTTTTGTGAGTCTGCAGTCAGAACAACAGCTAGACAAAATGCTCAAAGACATTAAAAATTGTGCAGATGAACACAAGGATGAGTCCAATGTGAACGGGCCCTAATAGTACCTTAGACAGACTCAACTGCAGAATGGAGGCCAGTGAAAAGCATATGTTCAGTGTTGAGGAAATTAGCAGCATATTGACTTCTAAAACCACATGTTTTCAATGTATCCATAATGATGGATAAACTGTAATTGAGCATTGTGCCCGACTCTCCAAATTCCTAAACTTTTGACATTATGAACTCAATCTCAAATCAGTATGTCATGTCCATTTACTTTAAGTAGCTGTGTCATAAGAAAGAATGTGGCCGTCGTCATTAATCAAAAAATAAACCTGAAGGAAAAGTCCTGATCGCTGTGTATAGATTGATTTTTTGATGATGACAGCTGACTCTACATTATGCTTTGCTTTCTTGACTCCTCATGTGTGAGGGGGAGGTTTTGAGCATCATTTTACCCTCAGAAAGAGTTTCAGGAAGCAGCACAAATACTTTTTTTTTTTTGCATCAGCATATCAACATTGTTCCACCTTATATATAGTTTAATGAAAGCTGGGAGTGTGCGCAATCGATTGAGTTATCCAACGTTATCAAACAATCTCGACAGATAGTGTTGCGCGATCAATAGTAAAAGCACGAATCACAAATGCCAAAACATCTTTGGGAAAACATCCAGCAGTTACTTTAACCTACAGAAGCATTAAACCTGTAGTGTATTCAACAGCAGTGCTGATCAGAAGAGCCATCTGTTAGATTAGAGCCCAGCCTACAGGTGTTCCAGAAAGGTATGCTATTCATGGCGTCTCCTCATCACTCATTACATACACAGATGTGGAGAGGGCTTTTAGAGATCCCAGACAGCAGCTTATGTTAAACTACGTCTATATTAAATTTAGATTGTTAGTTCGTCATTGAGGTTTTGGAATGACAAAAAGCTTTGGTTTACACCAAATGGATGATATCTTTGGCTATGTTCGGAAAGAATGTTAGCATACTGTTTACTGCATATCACACTTTATAAAGTGCATACAGTGCAAACAAACTTATTTTAAAAAGCAATATGTGTAACAGTATATGCTGAATAAATATTTCAAAACATTGTATACTATGCCTATATTGTTGTCACATGACTCTCTGCTTGGTCAATTCTTCTAGAGAGTACTCTAGTTCTTTTACAGTTCTTTTGTATTTGTACTGTAATTTTGTGTAAATGAAGTAAATAATAAATAATGAACCAACAAGATTAAAATAGTTTCTGGATATCTTGTGACACTGGTCAGATGCATTGCATTGAGGTACGTGGTCTGCACATTTGGGCAAATTCAAATATTTGGGTAATTCATCAATCAGTGTAATTCACGCACAAGAAAATTTGCATTCATATTTGTATGCATACTGCAAAAATAGGACAGTCATAGTAAAAAAAAAATATATAACTAATGTACAGGTAGTTGTACAGGTATGACAACATACACTTCCATTCAAACAGCAACTGTATTAAACATTAATAATAATAAGAAGAAATGCTTCTTGAGCAGCAAATCAGCATATTAGAATGATTTCTGAATGATCATGTGACACTGAAGACTGGAGCAATGATGCTGAAAATTCAGCTTTGATCACAGGAATAAATTACATTTGAAAATGTATTCAAATAGTAAATAGTTATTTTAAATTATAATACTATTTCTCACAATATTTCAGCTTTTACTGTATTTTGATTGAATAAATGCAGCCTTGGTGAGCATAAGAGACTGACATTTAAATAAAAAATCTTATCGACGCATGCTTTTGAATGGTAGAGTGTATTTTATAAATTAATTAATTCATTATTATAATTGATTATTTTATTTTGTATTTTTGCGCCAATATTTTCTGAAAAAAGGTCATAATTTAAGTAAATAATGAATCCACAAAATGCTTAAATGTGTTGATATTACCGTCTCATTTGTCACACTAGAAATAAAGAGTAGAGTAAAGTCCAGTGCATTGCATCATGGGACACAGCAGGTCATATCCAGTTCTGGTTGTATGGGATATTTTGGAAGTAGTAAAGATAGTAAATATAGAATAATAATTAAAAAAAATCTATAAATATATAAAAATAAAAGAGTATGGGCAAATACATGGCCAAGAGAAAGTAATGCTACATGGGAAATTTGCTAAAATATCTGTGTGACATTTGGACAGGTGATGTACGTATACAGTCATGGGGTCTTAGTGTTGACAAATCTACATTTCATCATCATTTTTCCACTGTGTCAATGTTTCACTGGACCGCTTAAAGCCAAGGATGGACAAATCTCATCCGGTACTCTGTCGGACACGACTGCTGTCGATCATGATGTAATCAAATTAGGCTTAAGACTCTTACCGGAGGCTTTATAAGAGGGCTGGGTTTGCCATTGACAGAGCAAACCTGAGTGGCTGCATGCATCTGCTGCAGCACGGCACAAACAGAGAGGGAGTAAAGGAAAGCGGTTTCCTTGCAAGCCATAATCTGACACAAATCCCAGCAGGCCAGCAGGGAACAGAGGTCAAGCGACTGCGGGCACTGAAATGACTCCGTTTCAGTTTATGAAAACTCGCCAGCTGACCTGCCCCTCTGTTTCCATATTGACAGCAATAACAGTAAACCGAAGCCGAGTGCCGCTTGATGTGATTTCACGCTGATAAAATGACTTCTTTCCTGAAGTTCTTGGGTTTTAGTGACACTGCGCTCCACAAAACGGAATTCTGCTCACGGATATCAACTCTGATTTTTCATTTCTTTGCCTCGTCATTTTTTCCCCATTTAATATCAAGGAGCTGTTGGGAAAATGACTGGTTAATTTAAATCTCTATTCGCCACAGGCGGGAAGTGGAGGACACCTTAACCTTCAGATATGGCACGCTGCCTCAGCAAGTGTGCGGAGCGTTTTATTACTGCCACGATGGAAAAGCATTATCTGCTTGTTGTGATTTGCAGGCAGATTAATACAGATGAGACACATAAAAAGCAGTATGTTTATTTGTTTTGCTGCAAAGGCAGACAGAACAGCACAAAACTCCCCCTAGTGGTCGCATTTCACAATAGTAGTCCATAAACACAACTCCAGACAGCAATAGCAATCATTCACATGATGGAGGATGAGAACATCACAATTCCTGCTTTAGCTCAAAAGGCCAGGCAGTTATTACAGAAACGGCACATTTTAATATACTATTAGTTTAGATTCAAGCACAATACGATTTACACCTTTGCTCTGCTTGATTAGCTTTCATAAAGTTAAAATGAGAACAAGGACTTCGATCATGATGTAATCAAATTAGGCTTAAGACTCTTACCGGAGGCTTTATAAGAGGGCTGGGTTTGCCATTGACAGAGCAAACCTGAGTGGCTGCATGCATCTGCTGCAGCACGGCACAAACAGAGAGGGAGTAAAGGAAAGCGGTTTCCTTGCAAGCCATAATCTGACGCAAATCCCAGCAGGCCAGCAGGGAACAGAGGTCAAGCGACTGCGGGCACTGAAATGACCCCGTTTCAGTTTATGAAAACTCGCCAACTGACCTGCCCCTCTGTTTCCATATTGACAGCAATAACAGTAAACCGAAGCCGAGTGCCTTCTTGATGTGATTTCACGCTGATAAAATGACTTCTTTCCTGAAGTTCTTGGGTTTTAGTGACACTGCGCTCCACAAAACGGAATTCTGCTCACGGATATCAACTCTGATTTTTCATTTCTTTGCCTCGTCATTTTTTCCCCATTTAATATCAAGGAGCTGTTGGGAAAATGACTGGTTAATTTAAATCTCTATTCGCCACAGGCGGGAAGTGGAGGACACCTTAACCTTCAGATATGGCACGCTGCCTCAGCAAGTGTGCGGAGCGTTTTATTACTGCCACGATGGAAAAGCATTATCTGCTTGTTGTGATTTGCAGGCAGATTAATACAGATGAGACACATAAAAAGCAGTATGTTTATTTGTTTTGCTGCAATGGCAGACAGAACAGCACAAAACTCCCCCTAGTGGTCGCATTTCACAATAGTAGTCCATAAACACAACTCCAGACAGCAATAGCAATCATTCACATGATGGAGGATGAGAACATCACAATTCCTGCTTTAGCTCAAAAGGCCAGGCAGTTATTACAGAAACGGCACATTTTAATATACTATTAGTTTAGATTCAAGCACAATACGATTTACACCTTTGCTCTGCTTGATTAGCTTTCATAAAGTTAAAATGAGAACAAGGACTTGGAGTATTTTAGAGAGAAAGTGAATTTTCCTTCATGGCTTCTCGGGATTAGTTTATGATTGAATAAACAGCGCTTTAGACGGTGTTTGCATTTCCAGTTGTCTCCTGCAGATTATTTACACTATAAACAGGGTTCTGTTGCGGGCTGTGTTTACACATAAAGCATATTACAGTAGGGGCAAAACAATAAGTCATGTGTTTGCAGAACGCTGTGCATTTGTCCAGAGGGGCCGGGTTCAAAAAAGCCAGTAAATGCCAAGATTAGACTCTGAAATCTCTTCATCTGCGCTGAAGACTATGTTGGCGTTATTGAAACAGGTGTTTCCGGCAAGTGCGATTACTGGGTGACGAGCCAAAGGTGACCCCATAGGCACATCAACAGAGAGCAGAGCTGGGTAGATTACTTACAAATTGTAAACCAAATTACATGACAAAAATTGTAATTAGGAATGTAATTGCATCACACATTTTTGGTATGTAGCCTAATATAATCAGACTATTTTTGAT